GTACGTTTTCAAGCGAAAATCAAGGACCTAGAACGGATTGCTGGGCTCCGTTAGCAAGATCCTGTTAATCTGGTGAAGGAACTATATAACAATAATCAAGGGCGTGAGACAGGCGTGAGACGCGTTTCGGGTAGCCTGAAAGATGGCACTCACAGGAACTAGTTCAATCCATAACGGGTTGCCTGCGGAAGACAAGAAGAACACAAGACACTGGTTTATTGATGGATATCCTCTTGCATGAGTTCTTCAAAGTCTTCAACTTGCTATTTTCAGCTTGCCACAGGGGGAAGTCCTTGGTTTGGAACCCGTGGAACAGACTAGTGAACTATCCACCTCGGCGAGTTGAGTAAGGGTTAGCCCTGTCAATTGATGCTAGCTCAGTGGTTCAAGCAGTGCATCTTGCAAAAAGCAAAGTCATGTTTTTGGCAGCTGAGCAAAAGCAACTGCCGCTTGGGAACAGGTGAGGTTCTGGTTCAGTGAAGCAGGTCGTTGAATCTCGTCTAAGCGAGCGTCAAATCCGCCCTCCGCATTGGCTGGCCTCAAATACCCTAGTAAGCGTCTGGCATCGGCGCTAAGAAGACGCCAGTCCCCGATAGTGGGGTAAGTGGCGCTAAAACACATTACATAAGACAGCTGGGCTGACATAATCCTCCGCATCGCTGACCTCGTGTCGTCCCACGTTGCTCTCGCCCTCAATATCCATTTCTCACAATCGCAATTCACGGTGCTTTTGTCTCTCTTTGTTTCTCGTGCTTTTTGCTGTGCAATTGTCCTATCCTGCCTCTACTCGTCGCTAAATCCTTCCGTGTTGAATCGGATCTGAGCTCGATCCTTGAGCTCACCCCGTGCAATCCCGGCTGCCTGCACGCGGATTCGAAGCGCAGCTGCACTTGATTGATTGCAACGGGCTTTTTAGTTGTCACGTTTACTGTGAATTTTACGTGCCTCTTCACTTCGTTGCGATTTCGTCACTCCCACTCTGAGTACCTTTACCGCCAGAAGCCTTCCGATTTCGGAGTAATTGCAGCCATCAGTCTGAGCCCGTCTGGGTTCTGACTTATATGGTGAACTCAACACAGTATATCTCTGTCGGCGCGTGTGCACATACGAATTCTGGCATCTCGACTGCGTTCATACTTCGCTGCTGCCCGTTCGTTTTCGATATGTGCTTGACGTGACGCTTCTTGGTGTTCCCGAAAGATATCAATTCAAGATTGCGGTTTCGGCAGCAAGGCTACTCACCTCGAATCAATTATGGCTTTATCTACGGAGGCTATGCGTGGATTTCGAATTGGTGATATACTTCTAGTTATCCGTCAGTACTGTCCCAGATCTCCTTTTTTTTGAGATTCCATCGTTTGTGCTGATAGTAACGCTGAGTGTAGATAACTTCGATGCTCGCGGAGCAGATGAATTGACCCTCCGACGAGGCGATAAAGTGGAGTTATTGGAATTAGATGAAGGGTTTGGCGATGGCTGGTATCTCGGCCGGCACGTCGGTGAGAGTCAAACGGGCCTTTTTCCTGGAGGTATGTTATCTTCGGTCTCCTCTGGTGTATCGACTCTAATAGGTGGCGAATGCAGTATACACCACGATTATGCCCAAAATCGGCGTTAAAAACGCAAATAACTCGAACCCGCCCGATGCCGTTTCAGGAGGTGCATCCGGACTGCAAGACCATACGGAGGGCGAACAGGAATCCGTGTCCCCTATTTCAAATGACGATACTACCCCGCAGCAATCAAGGCATGCCAGTGCAGCTGATTTCGAACACCCCATTTTGACAGAAACTGAAAGTGGGACGGAGTCTCACCCAGTTCAAACGTTATCGAGGCATTCATCGGCCACAAGTACTTCAAGAGCCCCTGAGATTCAAAGGTCCATCAGTGAGACCATCGCTACGCATCTTAACGGCGAAGACAGTCCGGTTCTGAATGAGACTTTGAGTGTGATTGACGAACACATAACCAATTTTAGTACCCCCCGGCAGAGCGTCGTTGCCCATGATCATCATCGAGGCACTAATGATTCTAGCAGTGAATACAGTAGCCATGCAGGTAATCGTCTCTCCTATATTCACGGCGTTGAAACAGATGAAGAAGAGGAACGGCGATTCACTGAGGCGGACGTCAGGCGCTGGAGCCATGAGCAAGTCGCTGAACACCTTGTCGAACTTGGAGTAGACCCGAGACATTGCAAGATATTCAAAGAGCAGGAAATAACAGGGGATGTTCTTCTCGAGATGGATCAAGAATTCATATACATGAAAGATTTCGATTTTGGAGTCATGGGTCGACGCCTTAGAACCTGGCATCTTATCAAGGCATTCCAAGAAGAGGTCAAGGGCATTGCACATCCTAGAACGTCGACGTCTACATATTCTGGACGTCCAACTTCCTCCGCCGAATATGATCGTTCTCAAAGCCGTTCTGGAACTGCGTCTTCTTTCCTTCCGCGGATTCCTAGTGTCAGTGAAGCGCATGGCCCGGTAACCAGACAGTCCAGAGGGTCTACTTTTTCAAGCTACCATGGAAGAGCTGCACCCTCTCCCGTGCCACCTCCCGGATTTAACCGCCCGAGAACTCGCGATAGCGCGTCCAGGCCATCTCCAGATCTCATTCGGCGAAGCAATTATCATCGCCGCCATTCTTCCATAGACGAAGCCTCCAGGCCCTCTGCGCACGCCATGAAACCCCTATCAGCTGTGCCGTCCAAGATGTCCACTCTACCCCACGAAAAGAAATCGTCGTTAGACCGAGGTTGGACGATAAAAGCTGTAACGGACACCCGGCCGGGGACTGCGCTGGGGACTACTACTGTTCAAAGCCAGAGTCACACAAATGGAAATAGTCACACAGCTGTGTCTGAAGGAGTTTCCACTGATGATTCTCCAGATTTAGACCGAGGTTACTTTTCTGGTGGTGAAATTGACGCTAGAAGGTCACGTAACGTGTTGCGAAAAAGGGATTCGAGCGGCCGTAGCCTAAGTCAATCAAGGCAGACAGGCGCTGCAGACGATGTTAAAGCGCGAAGTAGTAAGCGCCACTCCAGATTCAGCAGTGTTGACTCTTTCAAGGAGTTCGCCCCATACTTTTCCACTTTTGGCAAACTAAATCATTCTGGGGCCACTTCCGCAGAAACAAAACAGCGTCGAGAACTTGTTGATGACGATTCTCATTCACCAACAGTCACCAACTTAGAGGAGGCTAATAGCTCAAGTGGCGGGTTCTTTACTTCTCTCTCATCTTTGCACTCAAAACCCCATGACGAACATTTAGGTCGCTCTTCGCCTTCCCATGGCAAAAATGCAACACCTAAATTTCGCCGGACTATTGGCTTACGTGCGATTTCGGACGCCGTGACGGGCAGCGAGAAAGCTCAGTTGGGCTCAACATCACCCTCGCCTATAAAAGACTTTTCAAAGTCTCCTGATCGGACGAACTCTACTACTCCGTCGGCCACATCTAAAAGCTTTGATATGGAGGGGACAGATACCTCATCGAAGCTTTCGGAAGGAGGTCTAACTTTGGCACTTGCGTCTAAGACTCCTTCTCAACGAACCAAATCAAAGAGAGATACAAGTGCGTATGTACGAGGTTTAGAGAAGAAATCTCCCCAAGAGCAGATGGTAGGCTGTGACTATTATGGGTGGATGAAAAAGAAATCATCAAACTTGATGACTACCTGGAAGCCTCGATTGTTTGTTTTACGTGGCCGACGATTGTCGTATTACTATTCGGAAAATGATACCGAAGAGAGAGGCCTTATTGACATCTCGTCTCACCGCGTTTTCCGTGCAGATCATGACACAATAACTTCCCTCCATGCTGCTATCACTGGGGCCAAGGCGTCACCCACCTCTCCTACCAACTCCAACGGCTCTCAACCCATGTCTCCTGACTCGGACCAAACGCCAGAGACCAGCCGACCGAAAACTAGCTCCGGTGATCAGCCATTTATATTTAAACTCGTCCCGCCAAAGGCCGGATTGTCCCGTGCCGTGCAGTTCACAAAACCAGCAGTGCATTATTTCCAGGTTGACAATATTCAACAAGGTCGCTCTTGGATGGCAGCAATTATGAAAGCCACAATCGAACGTGATCTCAACCTACCCGTGAAAACCACAAACAAGCAAAAGACGGTCAGTTTGAGGGCAGGCTCGCCAGATGAATCAGCGTCCGCCGGCATTGATGAACCGACAAAGCAGAGATGATCTGAAAATAGTATTACAGGAGAGCGATACCGTGTCAAATAGCGAGGCTAGACCTGTATCCGAAACTGTCGAACATTCGAATACAGTGGAATCCACTGAGACAACAACCAATTCTTTATACCCGGAGGCAACTCCATCGCGTTCCAATTCTACTTGACACTCAAATTTGTTAATATGCTATTGATTTGCAAATTTATTCTTCAGCCCTTTTTACCCTTCTATTTATTGCGTTTACTCCTTTTTCTTTGATTCTCCGACTTTTCCTTCGTTATGGGTAAGCCGGCGTTCGACCCCTTTACCGAATGTCTTGTGGGACTGAGATATACCATATTTCCTCAAAACTGTTCTAAGCTTAAATGATGTATGGGTCAGGGAAGGTTATCGTTTGAAATACCCTCTCGGAATATGAAAGAATGTCTATGTTCATGGCGTACATAGGCCAGATTGTTGTTCTCTTTTTCCGGGTTGATACGTATATCAGTTTAATGCTCCATATTTCTTTGACAGTTGTTGCTTTTGTACTGAGTGGCTGGATCATTATGACCTTACAATGTATGATATTTAATAATTATTGCTAACTTGATAGATATCTGTATTCTACTATGGGACCTACAATTGGAAAATCATTGGCAAAGAAACCGGCAGCGGATAATCTATGGAAAACACGAACCATGCAAACCTCTGGTTTGAATTGGAGCCGACAACCTTGCATTGAGCCCTCTATCCCATGAAAAGTATGGCACCCCAGTGTCCACAATGCAGTCACTAGAGAACATGCTGGCAGTACCAAGATGAGACTCCCAAGTGCTCAAATTTCTTTCCAATGATAACTTTTTCGGTACGTAGATATTTCTTTACTACTGTAAGGTTCGACTTCATCTTTTAACTTCTTTTCCGAACTTGAGTATTGCTTCTCAAGCTTCTCCTTTTCAGATTTCAGATAGTCGGGCTATTGATAGGTCCATGCCCCGGAACTGAACTCGCTGATGTCTTTCGCGACATCTATAACAATGATGGTGTTAATCTACTATTTCATGACAAAGCATGTATTGCGCTTCATACCGCGTCGCTTGAGTCTCTAGCCACAAAACGGGGCCCAGTTCTAATGGGCCGGAAACGGTCTACCACGTTTTTCAACTGCTATCAAGTTCTCAGAACCTGTATGGGTCGTTTCAGCTTTCAAGATTCGAGTGGGATTATCCGGATAAAAGAACACCATTCCAGCCAGACCACTGGCAAGATATTTTCCATCTGCTGGGTAATGCAGAGCCCGGTAGTAACGAACACCATCAGGGCCTATCTCTGGGGCGGTAGGCCGAAGCATGGTGACTATGAATGATTAGTGTGTGGCGAGGGATGTGTTTGGCTAGCAAAGTGAGAAGTACAACTTGAAGGAGAGGCTTATGAGATATGTGGTTTTCAATAGTTAGCCAGGAGCGCGTAATTAGCTTTTCATCTTTGGGAAGGGTCGACAGCTATGGGATGCCGTACCGTACAAAAGTCTCAGCACACGGAGCCCCTGAAACGCAGGAATTCGCGCTTTGGAGCCAGCAAAACAACTCCGGCACACTGCCTTTGCAGCGTCCATGCCTTTAGCTCTATGTTACTCCGCTATCTGCTGCAACGGATCCTCTCCGTTCTGCTACCAATATCAATAGCGTCTCTCGCTTACCTGTATCTGTACCCCATATTCCATGGCTGCGCATTTCCCGTTCCCAACCCTCGACTTTCCGGCTCCGTTCCCAAGTCGACCGCGCTCGTGAACACTCTAAAAGAGCATCTCGGCTACGTATACGACGATGGCGGCAGCAGCCGTGATCGACATGATGATACTGCGAAACGCATAATTCCTCCGGCGCCGTTTCGATTTCTCGTTCTCGCCGATCCACAGATTGAAGGCGACAGTTCTCTTCCGCGCCCGAATGATGGGTTCACAGACCGGCTGGGAAGACACTGGGCGAGAGTCGTTAATGCGACGACATGGGATGAACGTGTTCTTGCGTTTACGAGAGGTGCGCGAAATGTGGTCATGACGGATGGCCCGCGGACCCTGGACGCAGCGCGCAAACGGCTGGATTTATTTGGGAATGATTACTACCTTGCCCATATTTATCGGACGCTGCACTGGTGGACAAAACCGACGCATGTTACGGTTCTAGGGGATTTGATCGGGAGTCAGTGGGTGTCGGATGCCGAGTTTAAGGCGCGGACAGGACGATTTTGGGGTCGGGTATTCAAGAAAGGCACCAGGGTTGCTGATGAGATTACTATTACAGGGTCAGATAAGTATGGTGCCGGTCCCGAAGTGATAGAGAGGCTCGAAGCCTCCCAGCCCAATGAGGAACCGATTTGGTCGAATCGGATTATCAATCTTGCTGGGAATCACGATATTGGATACGCCGGAGATATCACCGAGAAACGCATCGAGCGTTTCGAAAAGGCGTTTGGGAGGCACAACTGGGACATGAGATTCGAGTACCCGCTTCCTACGGCAAATCATTCCTCTGACAACGGACAACGCCCACCGTCTCTGCATCTTATTGTGCTTGATAGCCTTCTGCTTGACACCCCGGCTTTGACTCAGTCGCTGCAGGACAAAACTTATACCTTTTTGAATGAGCTAATCTCCTACCGTTCTCGCCCGGTCGAGGAATCAAACTCCTTCACACTCCTTCTCACCCATTTGCCGCTTCATAAAAAAGCAGGCATCTGCACCGACGCTCCACATTTTAGCTTTTTTGCCAAAGACGACGAGAAGCCAATTGAAGGCAAGTTGAGATTTCAAAAAGGAGGATTGCGCGAACAGAATCATATTAGTGACCACCTCAGTCACGCGGGCATTTTGCAAGGCATTTTTGGCATGAGTGGAAATTCTAACGCTCCTGCTAATGGCAAAGGGAGAAAGGGATTGATCCTGACGGGCCACGATCATACCGGCTGCGATGTCATTCATTTCGTCAATCGCACACTAGACAAGGTGGAAAGCCAGGCCGATGAGGGAGCCCCAAGCTGGTCGTGGGGCGCGCGACGGTATCAGCCAGAAGCCGATGGTGGTCAAAACTTGCCTTCTACTCCTTCCATCAGAGAAGTGACCCTCCGTTCCATGATGGGTGAATTCGGTGGGAATGCTGGCCTTTTATCGATCTGGTTCGATTCAGATCCCTCAGTCATGGAGTGGAAATATGACCTTGTCAATTGTCAAATGGGCGTGCAGCATGTTTGGTGGGCTGTGCATATCCTTACTTTTGTCTCATTGAGTATATTTGTCGTTTGGCTGATTTTGTGTCTGGTCGATGCGCTCTATCCCTCATCGGGGACGGGGGTTACCGCAAAGAACAATCCAATCCTCAGGCCTATGACACGGAAGCCAACGAATGTAGGCGGGTTATCCAAGGATGTCCAACACAAAGGGCGGTGATATAAAGGCTGGTACGAGCTACTTGGGTATATATATAATTGGTATATATTTTGATGAGGTCGATGTAATTTTGACAATTGGGTTCATTCTTTTGAGATGTCTGGTTGATTGTCAGAATCTGCCTTGCTTGTGTTGTTTGCAGAGAAATATATGTTATCTTCTCCCAAATAGATCTGTAATTGGGGGGCCGACTGCTCATCGTTGTTGACAAAAGCTGCTACGAAAACAGCTGTAGCCTTGCAAAGTAGCTGAGAGCAGGATGCTAACATGCTAGCCACAACTTTGTCTTCTGGCGCTTTTGTCCATCCATTCGTGTACTGGGGCAATTGACCAACGCAACAGCATAAATCACCAGGACCGAGAGAAATTGGGAATTTGGAAATTGAATTTGCGTATCACATTAAAATAAAACGCCTAGAATTTGCGCATTCATAGTTTTGTTTCGACAATCCCAATTTACATCACCACACCGGAGTTACTTGCGATACGCTAGAGGAAGGGCGAGTTAGATAGAATCCCGCAAACCATGAATTCAACAGAGAGTTGCTGCTTACCGGCCACAGCTCTGCAGCTTCCTTTCCAACAGGACCCGTGATAGCTGAACCCTTCATCTCACCCTTGGCGTTGACAATCTGCAATGACATTATTCAGTATAACCCCAATCGTTTACTATGCCGAAAAGTCTCGAGGCTGCGGCCATTTGCAAGAAGTACTCACCACACCAGCGTTATCCTCGAAGTAAAGGTAGATACCGTCGGGACGTCTCCAGGGCTTGCTCTGTCTGACAACAACCGCGGGCATGACCTTCTTTCTCAATTCCGGCTTTCCCTTCTTGACGGTGGCCATGACCATGTCACCAACACCGGCAGCTGGAAGACGGTTGAGACGTGCACCCCAAGCCTTGACGGAAATGATGTAAAGATTTCGGGCACCGGAGTTATCGCAGCAATTCATCACGGCGCCACTATTCGCAGAGAAAGCTAGTAATTAGTTGCTGAACTGCCACCCGAATCTTCATAATGACCATAAAACGCCCCCGTTCTTTGTGATTCACGCGACTATGCATCTCCTTGGAGGGGAAAACGGGGAAATCTCGTGGAAAAAACGTACACTGGCAAACCGAGAGTCATCTTGAGCTTGTTGCCGGCGGCACCGCCACGACTATATTATTCGACAAAAGTCAGCGAGTTTTGATTCCAATCCATCCCTTCCTCAATCTTGACAGTCCAATTGCCAGTTTCCGCAACATTCCCTCTTCTCCAACAGGAACCGTAGTCTCCTCTTCAAAAAAGCAAGCTGGGGAACCACAATTCTCACCCTCTCTTCGACATCTTCGCAAGGTATTAACTGGGCGACCAAACACAACGGGAGGATACGGTCCGAAAGGTATCGCTGGCAAACTGGCGAGGTCGCTGTTGTCGAGGAGCGCGGATGTCGGCTTCGATTTCTCTCGTTGTCGTCGATATTCAATTTCCTCTTCTTCGCTTAGTGTGGGCTTCAAAATCTTGGCGTTCTTTGAAAAGGTCACGGGACCGCAGCTACCACGTGACTAGCCCTAAGCCCTAATCGCGAGGCTGACGTCAACAGCCCGAGAAAACCTTAGGGGTTGCAACAGGAGAAGAAGTTGTGGCTCGACATGCAATAAGGATAATGTTTTACATTGCCCGAAAGTAATCAGAATATTACGGAGGACTCTGAAAAAACAGCTACATAAGTAAAATCATAGATGAAGAGATACTACAAAATATGAGAGGGAAACGCGTTGCTGAAAGTTAATTCCTGCCACTCCAGCCGCTTTTCCACGCCTTGCTCAACCTCCAGATCAGAAATCCCAGATTATTCTCCAAGCGCCAGACCGTAAAAACCAATGCTACATGAATATCTGTTTAGGGTAGCGCCATGGGTTCGCCAAGGAAGGCACATTCGTTACTCAGCATTTGTCGAGGGCTCTTCAGTCCTTGCAGGCGGAGTCGCGTGTGATAGGTTCGAATCTTCTGGTTGTGGTGATTTTGGTGGTGTTGCTACCAAGGCCTCACCGGCCGCCGTCGGTGGCTCGGACGGTTCTTGTGTGGGGGTGACATCTTCCATGGTGGTATCCATCATGGTATTCCCAACCCCATTCGGCTGTAACGATTCCTGTCTTGACGCTGGTGGTGATGCCACTGGCCCCTTTTCTTCAAGTTCAGCAGTAGCAGTTGTAGGCAGGTCTACCACAGATGTGTCTTCTGTGTCCATCCTTGACTCAGATCGGGTTGACGGCTCTGCGGTAGGGGTCGGCGACCGTTTGTCTTGCACATCGGTGTCTGCTACATCTTCCATTTTCTCATCTAGGATCCCATCGTCATCCGCAACCGAAGATGCATCTCGTGGCGTAGCAACACCGCTGTTGATTCCAGATTCAGGCTCCAAGTTCTCGTAGCTGACTTGATTACGCCTTTTGATGCCATTAGGCTGGCGGCGAACGCCATTCGCGGCTGCAAGTTCTTCGTCTTCGCTCTCACTGAGTTCACCGTCTTTCTCAATGTACTGATCGAATCGCCGTTTCGTGAATCTCTTATCCTTGTTTTCATCCTCATCCAAATCATCGAGGATCGCATCAGCTTCGTCATCCATACCGTCGACCAAGGCGTCACGGGGAACATCGGTCATTTGCACGGAAGGTGCATGAGCCGAACGCTTGAGATTCTCAATGACTTGGGTTCGAATCCTGTCGATATACTCTCTCGAGTTGTTGTTGTCCATGTTCGAAGGGCGGACATCCAGTTCGTAATCAGGTGAAAAATACTTCAAAGGCGTTAGTATGTATAGTCACTAAAGAAGTATGTATCTCACCTCATAGTAATCATTGTATGGCAACTCTGTAGGCAGTTGATCCCCGACAAGAAGTCCGGTTTCAAACGACCACGTCCGGGCAACGTTCCTCATCGTGTAACCGCCACCCCCTAGAATCATTGTGGGAAGGCCAAAGCCTTTGACGTACTTCACGCAATTGGCGTGACCTCGCATACTCAAATTGAAGCAACCAAGACGGTCACCAGATAAACTATCACCTCCGCACTGAAGGACAACAGCCTCAGGGCGATACCATTCCATGACATTCTTGATAACTGGTTCAAAAATACCTTTGTATGAGATGTCATCGATGCCATCGCGAAGAGGAACGTTCACCGCATAATATCTACCGGCACCTACGCCAATATCGCGAAGCTCTCCAGTGCCAGGGAAGTACTCGCCGTACTTGTGAAATGAAACGGTCATCACACGGTCGGTCGTGTAGAACGCTTCTTCAACGCCATCTCCATGGTGTACATCAATATCAATATAAAGTACGCGCTGTTTAAACCGAAGGAGCTCGAGAATTCCCAGGACGATGTCTTCAACAGTATGTCAATAAGGGGATTGTACACAAAAGCGAGAGATAGCTTACCGTTAACGTAGCAAAAGCCGCTTGCTTCGCTCTTTTTCGCGTGATGTAAGCCACCAGCCCAGTTGACAGCAATATCGCATTTTCCCCTATTGAGACGTGCAGCCCCCTCCATGGAGCCACCCGCACTAATTCCGCAAAACTCGAAAAGTCCATCAAACACGGGACAGTCATCGCCGACGTTATAACGTTGCTGTTCCTTTTGAAAGCCCTCCATGTTATCAGGAGTAACCTTTGACAGGAAATCGATATATTCATCAGTGTGAAACTGGGTCATTTCAAGCCGGGTGGCAGGTTTAGCGCGCTGAAGGGTATCGTCAGCAAAGATTTGTAAAATAATACTTGGACTTGAAAAGAGAGTCATGGCTAAAAGGCAATGCGTGGTTCACCTACATAGATCTCCATCTTCTTGTACAAGCCATAATTCATCACCAAACTATGGGTCATTCGGATCCGATGGGGTTTCATAGGATGCCCCGCGACGTAAGCATAATTACCAACATCAGAGTCGTAGAAGTATGCAACTCGTTTCTTCTCCGCTGCACCATTCGTCATGGACAGATCAATGGGGCCGAGGCCAGCCATGACTGTAATCTGTCGAATATGGGTACTATCAAATTGGGAAGGGTTTAAAGATGGAGCAGCGGTTGTGGAGGGAAAGTGAGAACCAGGCCCAGAGGCAAGCTGCGAGAATCGGATGTTAAGATGATAAGAGCAAGCCGGGGCATGCGGTGGGTGATAGGCTGGAGATGAAGAGAATTCGGTGTCAGGAGGAGGAGGAACAAAGAATGAGTTCAGGATGATTTCATGGGGGGACGAGCACAAAGTCCGCAGCCTCGCGCTGATTGGCTGAAGAGCACCTGACCGACGGGGCACCAGGTTAGAGTTTACGGTGGATGACTAACATAAGCCCTGTGCTGATTGGTCAGGCTGCCAGCTCCTCTTTACGTAACCAAGACAGGTCAACCAGGGCGCCTTCAGTCAGCTTTGTGCTTGAGCAATTCGGACAGTGACAACGAGAGTTGAGCCATCTCTAACGTGAAAAGCGAAAGCCTCCGTTTAACTATACTCCCTATACTCTCTGCAGCTCTTACCGTGTCGGCCCTTTCAACGATCCTTGACCTATTCTTTCTTGCGCAGCTCCGACTCGGGCATTGCGTCCAGCCCATTCATAGTTCCAGCCAGACAAGGTAGTCAGGATGGAGCGTCTAAATCGAATGCTGCAAGCTGCCCAGGGGATGGGCATGAATAATGTTTCTCCCAGTGGAGTGAGTTCATTGCCTTTCCGCTCCTAGCTAGGTGTCGAATGCTTCAGCTGACACAAAGGTCTTCCCAGGATACCCCCAATTTGATCGATAACTCAGAAACCGTTCACATTTCTTCTCTCGCGCTACTAAAAATGTTACGGCACGGTCGTGCCGGTGTACCAATGGAAGTGATGGGCCTGATGTTGGGTGATTTTGTGGACGAATATACGGTTCGAGTTGTCGATGTATTCGCTATGCCGCAGAGTGGTACCGGAGTCAGTGTTGAAGCGGTCGATCCTGTATTTCAGACAAATATGATGGACATGCTCCGACAAACAGGACGGTTCGTTGGCGATGACTGAATATGGTGCATCGACAAGAATGCCCGCTAACCTACTTTTTAGACCGGAAACTGTAGTCGGATGGTATCATTCTCATCCTGGCTTCGGTTGCTGGCTCTCCTCGGTCGACATCAACACTCAACAATCTTTCGAGCAACTCACGCCGCGTGCCGTCGCCGTTGTCGTTGATCCAATCCAGTCAGTTAAAGGAAAAGTTGTCATCGATGCATTCCGGTTGATCGCGCCACAAACTCTTGTGATGGGCCAAGAACCGCGCCAGACCACATCTAACTTGGGACATCTCAACAAGCCCTCAATTCAAGCTCTTATTCATGGCTTAAACCGACACTACTATAGCATTGCTATCAACTATCGGAAGACCGGATTGGAAGAGAATATGTTGATGAATTTACACAAGCACGTTTGGACGGACGCGTTGCAGATGAAAAATTTCCGTGAGGATAGAGAACAAAATGTTGAACGGTTACAGAAGCTGGTTGGCCTCGCAGAAGGTTATGAAAAACGCGTAAAGGAAGAAACGGAGCTTACTAAAGACCAGTTGAAGACTCGATATGTTGGAAAGGTGGACCCAAAGAAAGCGTAAGTACTCCCGATTCCTTAAAGTCCAAAC